GATTGTGGAAGGAAACCAGCGCACCTGGCGGAAACCCACATGAACACTGGGAAAACATACAAATTCTATGCAGAAATCATCTCAGGAAATTAACTTTAATTTTAAAAACAAACCTTCCTCCATGAATTCATGAAGAATGCAGACAACCTCAGCAGTAATGTGCTTGATTTAATTGCCCAAATCTTCTCTCTGACACTGAAGCTGCATTTTTAGAACTGGTGTATTGTGGATGAAGATATGCTTGGTGTTAGTAATATCTGAGTGCTGAAAGGCATTCTAGATCAGTTTATGATTTCCACTTTAATCTTCTTAAAAAAGATTTTCTCTTCAACTCAAGAAGTATACTCAAAGCAGGGGTCCTAATGTGTACTGTGTTGGATAATTGCAGGCTTTGTTAAAGTCATTAGCACTCTTGCTTTTAGACATGTTAATAGTATATTAGAGAAAATGGGCAAACTTAAAAGGGCAAGATGCAAGCATTAATTCATTTTGTCACAGCAGGGCACCCAAGCTTTGAAAAGAGCATTGGTAAAGTTTGTGACACGATGGTTTGGAGACACATTAATTCGTTTTGCCATTTTGACTAATTAAATCAGCCAGCAGGGACATAAGTGAAGCTGTGGTTTGTGAAGCTGTTCTCACTTGGGTTCTTAGGATGTTTTGTTCTCATTCACTGTGTTTCTGTGAATCAGATATGCAGGTAACATTTAATATTCTGCCTTAATTAGCAGATTTTCTGCTGTGCTGTTTGGCCATGGTGCCTTTGTAACTTTTTGTTTATTGATTGTTTTTGAAATTGTTTTTTTCTGCTGACACCCCCTTTCTAAAAATGCACCCTTGTGTCCTGTCTGTTAACCAGTGCTCAAGCCAAAAAGGGAAAGGAAGTGCCAGCGTACCATTTTAATCTTTCACTTTTTAAGTAGTCTGCCCTGCTCTTCCAAACTCTCTCTGGTATCCAAGGTAATACTCGGCCTTCTTTCTTCTGTTGGTATCCCCCTCTCTGTAACACTCAACTCATGACTCATTACACTCTTAAAAAGAAAATGCAGTCCCAATTAGACTGGTTATTAAATCTCTGTAACAAAAATAAATTAATTGATATTGTTGCAAAAGTGTCCCAAGTTCTGAATTAAGCAGAAAATCGACAAATTTGTGAAAGTACTGTATGGTTGCCATATTGTCGGAAACCACTGGTCTTGCCACAGGCGAGAACGAGAGCTTGCGTGAATTGCAACATGAAGCGGCCCTTCCTGCTCACTAGTTACTGTTATTATCTAATGAACAAGAGAATAAGTGCAGTTGGTGCAGCAGATATTTCACTCCAGAAGTGTTCCAACGTGATCTGTATGCAGAGTTAACAGGTATGTTGTCTCTAAAATCTAAACTGTTTTAAAGTTGAGAATAATGTTTCTGTTAGATTAGAAGAGATGTATTCACAAGCCTACTTGTTTACAATGGAGTTTTGTTGCCTCGTTTTAAATCATACACGATGACGGCAATATGGCACTGCGCATGCCTGGAAATGTAATCTATTTTGTGATGTAAATTGGAGGTCTTACACTTTACAGTGTATATTTTGCTTTCATTATGGTACTCATCAATGCCGATTATTCTAACCCCGAAATATAAAAATAGCGTTGCAGTTCCCCTTTAACTCTTGCAGTTGCTCCACGGGTTTTCAGCTTGATTTACTCTGTGATATCCATTTCTCTGTCTCTTCACTAATCTAATCTGTAGCATTTTGAGCCCAGTTGGCGTTTTTCTCACAAAACTGCTGTAGTAACAAAAACTATGTGGATCATGTGTAAACCATGTTTATTTGTCACCTATTAGAAATAAAGTAAGTCATGCATTTTCTGTCATTTTTTACCTTCTCTCTATTGCAGTGTTAAATAAAGTATTATGGGTATATTGTTCTTTTATTGTGCCTTTAGGCAATATATGTCTTTGTTCGGTGTCCTACAGGTTATTATTATACATTGTAAAAATGACTAAGGATTACATTAATATTTCACATTTGAAAAGAATGCTGCTGATCATGGCCATGACTGGGGGAAGCTGCATGCTGTCTGCATTATTACAGCAGTCTGTGTGACGTCCTGTAATTAGTAACTGCCTGATAATGAGATGGTCTTTCACACAAGCCTGACTTTAGGGAGCTAACTGACTGAGCTGTGTGACATGGAGGACAGGCTCAGTCTGATTGGTTACTTTAAATTGTCCATTTTTGCTTGTCTCTTCTCTGGTCTGGTGTCTCATCCAGGGTGAGAGCAAACGTGCATTGTTCTGTTATGCTACAGCACAGTCGGTTTTGATACTGGATGGATCAAATTCATATTATCTGTTTATTTTACCTTTTATTATGGTTCTTTATTTATAATGAAATGATCAATATACTTATAAGGATTTCTGTTGTTGAGAAATGTTTTAAATATTCATGGTGCTGTGAATATTCATAGAGATGTTATGTTACTGGATTTAATTCCTTTTTTTTCATGACTGTAAAAAGTCGTTGGAAATGCAGATATAATGTACTGCAGTTATAATTTTCTCTGAGCTGCTGTTTTACACTACTGTGCAGTAAATCACTAGATAAGACCCACTAGTTAATGTTGTCTGACTCATGATTTAAAGTACTGTCAGGTACAGTAGTTTTTTTTTCAGTAGAATAGCCTTATTCAATGTGTCCAGTTCCATTAAAACAAGCCTTCTTGCACTATAGGATCGAAATCAGTAAAAATATCTCTTAACAGTGACATGGAGAGTTTAACAACGCTTGTGGTTAACAAATTGTTTGGCAGGAACATTTGAAACCATGCAGCTGTTGACTAGAAACTTCAATTTAAAATTGTCAATCAACACGGATACGATGTTAAAACAAGGTGTTTCCATTGTCTTGGGAAAAGCTAGACAGCCATGGAACAGCCTGTCTTTTGTAAACAAAATGTTTGCTCATTTTATTTCATTTGTGAGTGATTGTAAATAAAAAAAGTAAACCTCCTTAATTGAGACAGAGCTTTTTGTTACCCAGTCCAAGATTTTCTCATGTTGAAGCTGTAATCCGATGAAGGTTAGGTTAGTTTTGCACTGAATGTTGTGACGGAGCAACTGCGTGAGTCTGCGTGAGAATCGAACATTAATTCCGAGACAAGAGTAGCATTAGCAGAAGCCATTTATTAAATAAGTGCTGTATGGTAACATTGTATAAACTGACGCAAGCACTTAAGCCTTCTCTTATGTATTGAGTGTAAGCACTAAGGTTAAAGGTTTTAGGTTTTTCAGGTTTGCTTCTTTTATTATTATTATTTTGCAAGTTAAAACATCTACGACTCTGTGATGCCAAATAAAACCAATTCCAGCAACAGAAGAAAGGTGTAGAAATATAGAGAGCAGACTAAAATCTCTGTCACAAGTGCTGCATTGAATGTGATCCGGACCCATGACAGACTGTTACAGACTGTGCAGTCAACCATATGCACAGTACCTCACTGCTGTGTCTTAGGCAGGTCACAGGGCTTCATACATGTGGGAACAATATCCCTGTAAGCAAGGACAGAGGGCTATATAAAAGGAGAAGCAAAAATAAAGGCCATAGCAATATGACAATGTTCGTGAAGACAGCACTTCTGTCTACATTGGCACCTTAATGTCTGTTAGAGTGAAAAAAATAAGTGTGCCCAGTCAGACAGAATTCACATTAAAATAACTTAAGCTTGGAGATATTTCACTATGTGGAAGGACAGCTGGCCTTTGTCAGTGCCATTTAAAACATTTTCCCTGGAGTAGAGAATTTTAATTTTAATTCTTTACTTTGTTTCAAAGCTGGAGGTCAGTATTTATTTCATGACATTACAGTCCACCTCTCTGTGGGAGCATCAGTAGGCCTTGTTTTTCCACCCAGCAGTCCTGTGTGTCAGATCATTTAGTGGAGACGGTCAATCAAATACAGTATATTACATTAACATTTTGATATTCTAGTAAATAACCTTCAATGTAAATTCAATTATGGGGCTACCAGACTTTCTTAAGTAATAGAAGGTAGTGTTTACCTGAAACCCTAGGGAAGAAGGCAGACTCCTGGACCATGCCACCTACGCAGAAATTGAAATAATTAATCTTTCCCAGCATTCATCTCTTCACAACACTCCCTCCTCCCCTGCAGCATCTTTCTTTCTACCCTTTTGAAGTACATTTCCTCAACAGCCAACTGCAATGCCTCAATACACATCTGCACTATGCACTTTTTGCATGGTGTACTATGTTTTCTATTTTTTGTCCCACAACATATTTATTGTTCCTTTTGTTATTATGAATGTATGTAATGTACTGTCTATATTGTGTGGTGTTGTCTTTTGTACTGTGTATGTCTCGAGAGATCATCGCGAATAAGAATTGCAGTGTACAGTACATGTACTGTACATATGGCAATAAACATCTCTACTCTCTCTTCTTGGCTCACTCCACCTAGTGGTGGGGTCTGGTATCCATATCCTCAACACCATACTGTGGTTCCCTGAAGTGTGCAGCTTGGTGCTAAATCAGTGTCTCACAGTTCTCACTCACCAACTCTACAGGCTTTGTCTGGAGCTCCTGAATGTTGTTGTTCTTTCTTTACAAAGTTGAGTGATATTGGATTGGGAACAAAAATATATGAACCAGTGAATGTCCCCGTTCTGTACCTGACCTAATGACAGACTACCCATTGCTGCAGTATGTTTCCCTTCCTTTTGAATCCCTGTGTTATAGGGAGTCTTTTGTTTGTAAGGTAATTGGATAGGGGTTGAATTTCTCTATGCTTTGTTAATACAGCTTATTTTTGACAATTAACAGCTTTTGTTGTCTGGGGAAGGAGGTTATTACTACTGTGGTATTATTAGTAACTAGAATTTAAAAAAGAAAGGTTTCCAGGGGACTTTGCACAGGTTTGTCTTTAAAGAAGAGTGAATGCCATGTTCTGCTGAGAATTGGAGCTGAGAGATTGTTTTGTTCTCTCCCTGCAGGATTCTAACCTGACTTTGCACGCAGACAGTCCCGACCTCCCAGATTGCTTTCAGAAGTCCGTGCTGTCATGGGTCCCCTGCATCTACCTGTGGCTAGCCTTGCCTGCCTACGTGCTCTATCTGAAGCGAAACAACAAAGGATACATCATGATGTCTGTGCTGAACAGAGCCAGAACTGTAAGATGAAAAAGATTCTGTAAGATGGTTTAGTATCATTTTGATACAACACCTTTTGGAGTGTAACATCCATTGGCCCCTATTACAAGAATAGTTGTGGCCTTTTCTCCTGTTAACCGGAAGTCCGCCCCTAGGGGTAATTTGGAATGGGGAAGTGTGCTAAATCTTTGATCTGTTCTGAACCTGAGTAAACCCAGCTCTTGGTCATGATACTTTATACTTTGAGCAGATGTTCAATGTTAGGCTTTCAATTGTGAAACAAAGACTGCAATAAAACCTCTTTTTCTAAACTAACTTTATGGGTTTACAGTACTGTAGGACTGGAATATACATGCCTATAGCATTTAGCTGTAGATTTACTGTATTTGTGTTTTAGTCTGTCTGTGTCTGTTTTTCTGATAATTTAATATGCTCCGTGGTCAATACATTTGCTTCCACATGCAAAAGTTAAGTTTGGTACCCTGTTTAAGGTAAAAAATCCACATGCTATTATGTGTGTTTAACTGCTACAGGAACATCAGTTTCCTCATTGTGTCTTTGATTGAAGCTAGAATATTGTGAGGATTTTCTTCCCTTTCCAGTATGTCATTAGCAGAGTTTTTGTGCATTTCAAGGTATTTTAATTTTTTAACAGCTGGAATAGAATCACTTGAAATTAGCATTGAATAGTCTTGAAACTGGATTGTCAATATGACACATTCCTCCCTTGCAGATTAGTAATATCTGACCGCTAAAGGCAAAAATCTCAAAACAACAAGGAGGAAACAGGCTATGCAAATGTATAGTCTAATACAGTGCTACAGTATATGCAAATGCATTCTTATGTTTTTAGAATAGTTTGAATAAGCTCAGCAAAATTACAGTGTTTAAACAAATTTGAGAGTGTAATTCCTTTGGGTTGTAAAGCATCTTGCGTGAATTTCTGTATGGCGGCCTATAAAATAAACAATATGGGCTTGTGTTCGAGATTAATGAATTAACATGTTCAGGGACCTTCAAAACCAGAAAACAGATTGAGGACATGGAGGCAGATATTAGCCATTCTACTGATCCTGCCTCCAGCCCTGGTCTTTAGAAATCCTCTAACCTTTTCAATTTCCCAGTGCTTTTTTTTTGCCATGATGACAAAACAGTGTGGAAGATTTATGTGGGCCTGAGGAAAGAATGCACATTTCCAAGGGTTTTCCCAATCAGAAAATCCTGGTTTGTTTATTTAAATAAAAAGCATGGACATGAGAAATCCCTTATTTTTCTGTGAATGGAAAGAACGTGGCTCACGTTGGCTTGTCTTGCTGTGTCACTGCAGGTTTTCGGCGTGCTGCTGTGGATCACCTGCTGGATAGACCTTTTCTACACCTTTCATGAGCTCCACCAGGGCCACGTCCAGCCTCCAGTTTACTTTGTTTCTCCTCTGCTCGTGGGCATTACAATGGTCAGTTGTGCATCCATTCTGAAGATAATACAGACAGTACTAAAGTGAACTTTATGTGTTCTCGCCTTTTACCTGTTTACCGCATGGGTTCTGTGTGATTTTGAATACTTGAATCCACTTCCCTTAGAGCCTTCTCTTTTGAAGACTAAAAAGATTCAGTTCTTCAAGCCTGGCAGGGTAGTCCATTTCTTGAATCTCAGAAATTCTCAGGACGAACCAGATACTTTCAGTCCATCAGGCCCTGGAGATGTTTATGCTTAAGTACGTCTACTAATTGTAACACATCTGTTTCTTCTTTGCTAATATTCTTGAACAAAGTGCTGTCTTCTCTCTGCCTGAACCTCATTTCCCCTTCCGTTTCCTTTTTTTATCTCTTATAATTTTTTTCATCCTTTACTGTTCAGCAAAACTGTTGTAATTTTGAAAATAAATATTTTAGTCTCCATTGAAATATTATTTTATCTCTTATCTTGGTGGTTCTAAGTTCCCTTTTATTAAAACATATAACAAACATATTTGTTAATTTTTAAACTGTATAGAAACATTTTTTTCTCTCATATTTCTGTTAACTGATTTATTCAACCATTAAGAAATAAATAAAAAGAAAGGTCTGCCATTTTTGGATGCAGCATCCCTATTGTTTTTTCTCTTAATTATGTCAGGAAAATGAAAATACTCCATGATTACCACTTCGTCCTTTTAAATCTAATTGTAATTGTTCTTGATTTCATTATATGAAACTAGCATGATGCCAAACATTTTGAATGTTTTTTATAGTCTAACCCATTTACTGTAGTTTCAGCTGAGTTCATCTAGGTTAGCCTCCTGTGCCTGAATGATCTTTTTATGTACCTTGCAACACATCTCCCTCTTCCTTCTGCTATGTCTTTCTGGAACATTCTGTATCCATTAAAGTTGTGTTCATCACCACTACTCTCTATTAACCCTGCTTCTTTGTTACCAAAAACATCATAATTGACTGCTACTGCTGCACATTCTAATTCTTGTATTTTGTTTTCAATACTCTTGGCATTTACTGTAGGTCTAAATACTGAATTCATTTAAAGTTTTTCACTTTTTGCTGTGATCCGTATGTATCCCCCTATTACTGAATTTCTCTGCAGATCTTTGTCCCTACTTGTCTGGTGCCTGTTTGGTTCAGATGTAACCCATCATGTCTGCTGAGACAGCTTTTGTTATAGAAAGATTTCTGGTACCTCAAAAAGATGAAGCTTTCTTCAGCACATTGAGTCTTCAGCCATGAGTTGTGTTGACAGATTAGCTCCAGTTTTTCACCTTTGGGTGCCAATGGTGTTTGTCCCAACAGTAACGGTTCTTTTCTGCCTGTGCTAGGATCTGGTCTATTCACACTTTTGTCGTCTTAGGGTCCGTGCTGCATACTCATTTGCAGAGTTTCTGTACTAGAGAGTTTCCTACAAACCAGTGTTTGTGATGGTGTCTCATCATGTCCTTGACTTGTTTAGCGATGTGATGTCAGGATAGTCTGCTCTATTTTACTTCCTTTGACAACCTTGTCAGTTGCTCAGTGCTTGTGTTCTGAGGACGTTGGTACCACATTTGTTATGGAATGTGAATAATTACATACTGTATCATTTACCATTTGCAAATATTCATCAGTGGATGAATTTTGCAAGATCTGGCATTTCATGCTGCTGTCTCAGTTCCTGCAGCTCTAATTACAGTGCATTCACTATTTCAAGGTGGTACTGGATTTTTAAGCTGTTTTGTATGGATGCAATTTAGCTGCTGACTGTCTTTCAGGATGCAATACATGCTTAAATATTTTAAATGAATTATATTCCTACATTCTACATTGTAATTTATCCGTGAGCTTATATGCTTTTGCTAAACTACATTTCAACAATGTTTATCTATCTGTTCAAAGAATTCTTTGGAGAAGCCATATAGAGAGGAGGTGTTTTTAAGAGGAAAGAGAAATCATTATGGATTGTGGGACATGTGAATATGAATCTGCCATCTCCATATCTTTGTCATGAAAATGGGATATCAAGCAGCAAAGCAAGCTGTCTGTGGTTGCATTTCTTAACCTAATATAAGTGAACCAGAACTGGAAGTCTCAGTATATAGTTCTGCTTTCTCACATTGTGAAAGAGTCATGGCTAAGTAATATTCATCAATGAATTTTTTTTATTGTTTATCAGCTATGGTTTGCGTCAATTTGAAAATGTTAATCTTTTATTATGATAACATTGACAAGAAAATGGACTGAGTTGCTGGGCATGTTTCTCAAAAGTGGTTGTTTGGATTTCCCAGTGTTACATCGCCAGTATGGCTCAGTCTATGAGGAGAATGGGGACTAACATATGAGCCAGGGTTTAACAGACGGAAATACACACAATTACATGTAGGATGGTGAAAAATGCTAGGAAGTAAAAAAAAAACCCACAGGGGTAAGTGAACAAAAAACCCCAATTAACTACACTATTCTACAACACAATTACCCGCTAAACCTGTCTCCCGAGAAAAGGGTGGTAAAGCCAAAGAAAAGTTTCAGCAAGCTGTCTTTCTACTCTATACTAAACTAAGCTATAATGGAAAGCCAAAAAAAAACATACTGGTGCCACAACAATCCCAACCCTACACCACAGCTAAGAAAACAAATCTGACACATCTCATGTTTTCGCTGTTTCTTTTTCTTACACCTCTCTTCAAACATACCCCCAGGACGTCTCGTACCGGCATTTAAAACCGGATCGCTCTCTTCAACCAATCCAGAGAGAGACTTAATTTAGGGATACTCCCACTTCCAAAAATGGATTCTCGCATGGGAGGGGAGTAAAAAATAAAACAAAACGTAACACCAGACTATTGAAGGGCGTCCTCTAACCACAGGCTGTGTCTGTATGGTCCTTGTGTTACAAATTCGCGTCTGGATATCAGTAGGTGATCTGATTGGCCAGAGCCAGTCTGTAGACTGGCTCTGGCCCTCTTTGACCTCCCTGGAGCTAACAAGCATGCCGTGCTGTCAGTGAGGGCCCTGCCTGTATTCAAAGGTGGGCAGGTGGGAGGGGTCTGCCTCAAACTTCCTTCTTCTCCCCTGTGTGCGGTTGCAGGGTTTGTAGTTGCGAGCCTTAACCTGAAAAACACACAGTTTGGGTGGGTCAAACAAAAATGTACAGTTGTCAGCTCTCAATTTTTAAAACAACCCTTGTAAAAAAAGCCCTGCTGTATGTGTGGCCCTGTTTGCTGCAGGCCTGTACATGTGTAAGACCTCTTGTTCCCAGTGAGCTTTTAAACATGGTGCTGTCCTGCCTGTTGTCTTGAAGACCTTTGCGCTTGACTAATGAGTGTTCTTGTTCCCTTCCCAGCTCCTTGCCACGTTCCTCATCCAGTACGAGAGACTGAAGGGGATGCAGTCCTCAGGGGTTCTCTTCATCTTCTGGTTCATATCTCTGCTGTGCGCCATCGTGCCTTTCCGCTCCAAGATCTTACAGGCCACATCCCAGGTGGGCAGGCGGGCAGGGGGATCTCCTTAAAGAGATTAGATTCAGCAGAGTTGAAGCAAGGACAGGGGTGTGTTGAGAAAAGAATAGTAGTGCTGTTGTTTCGAAAACATTGCCAGCAGTCGGATTATTAAATTAGAAGTTTTCAAGCTCACCGTGTGGGATAAAAAAAGCTTACAGGACTGTGATGTGTGCAGGCATTGGTTCTCATTTGTGGTAATATATATAAAATAAAGGAATATGTTTTCATTTAATTTACCAGACTCAAAGTCAAAGCTTAATTCTAATTTGTTTTTATATTTAGTTTGTTCTTCTACTTTTATGCTCTCGCTGAAACCTCCTTGTTGTATCATGGACTTTGTGGACGTCGCCACTCCAACATTTTGACCTCCAATCACTAGGTTTTCCAAGTTGAAAAGACAGCCCTTCCCCTAGCACCTATTCTTTGGAGCATTTTAATTTTTTACTTGAAAAATTCAAAGGGTTCAGTTTTCTAAATAAGGAATTTCTTTTGAAATTTGAGAAACCTTTTCTCTAGCTAGCTGTATGACCAAGGTTTAAATAATTTCAGTACTTTCACTATGTTTTTTTGGGACACAGTGTTCATGCAATGGGATGTACAGTCGCATTGTTTCTGATGCTTCCAAGATCATCATCATCATCACCTATGCTAGTCATCCAAAATAATACCACTACCCTCTTTGTCTTGCAATTGGATGTGTAACTTTTAATAGTACAAAAGAGAGAGGAAAAAATACCAACACAAAAATTGCGGCAGTGCCATCCAGAAAATTTCTATGGTTGGGGAACTTGTGCTGTGTATAGTGATTAAGGCTTGGTTGGTGAAACTCTGACAATCGTGATACAAACCTTTCAGCTGACTCTACTGTTTCTAAAACTTTGAATGTGTGCCTTTTAGACATAATTCTTCAGAGGGCTTTTTTCTTCCAAAGAACCACAACAAATTGTCATATTTTAAGTTGAACATGCAAACATATGTGTGGCTTGGTTCTTAAATGCAGTACTTCCTTGCCATGTGTTTTCTTACAGGGCAGAATTACTGACCAGCTGAGGTTTACCACCTTCTATGTGTATTTTGGACTGCTTGTGGTGCAGCTGATCCTGTCCTGCTTCAACGAGAAGCCCCCCCTGTTCTCCAGCGTGGTCACTGACCCAGTGAGTTTGTGTGGCCGGGATCACTCCAGGCTTCTTGTCTGGTTTCCGTCGGCAGTGTGTTTCTGGAGAAAATGAAGTGCCCCAGAAAACACCTCATACTGTATGTTATCAGTCAACCCATTAAATAGCCTCTTTAGTTTCCTGTCATCTGTCCATTGACCTGCCTGTCTATTTAACATGCCAAAGCCGACATTCTTGAGCCACCTTGTTTTTGACATTTTGTATACTCCTAGAAATGGAAAATAATTGAAAATCTGTCTTTTTCATTTCTTACTTTAGGGAAATTAAAATGATCTGAATAGTTTGCACTCTTATAAAAGAATCCTGGTATTCTCTTTTTATCAGAACCCTTGTCCAGAAGCTTCTGCTGGTTTCCTGTCGACCTTAACGTTCTGGTGGTTCACAAGGTGAGTCTTCCTCTATTCCCGGTGTGACTTGTGTGGTCTGCGCAGTCCAGGACACGGCTGTGGCTGTGGTCTGCGCAGTCCGGGACGCGGCTGTGGCTGTGGTCTGCGCAGTCCGGGACGCGGCTGTGGCTGTGG